TTGAGCATATACCTACCAGTTTCAAAGAGAGCATCAGGAATCACTATTAAGTCCTGAACCTCAATGATAAGGAACCAGATGAGCTGTGGAACAAAATCAAAGAACCTGTTAAGGATTAATGTGAAAAGAGACTGCCAAAGACCAAGAAATAGAAGAAAGCAAACTGGATGTCACAATAGATGGTGGAAATTGCTAAGAAACAAAGAGAAGCCAAAGCCAAGAAACACAAAGATCTCAGGACAAAACTTAAAAGACTTTCAGAGAGCTGTTAGAAGATGCAAGGATTATCATACCATCTGTGAAGACACTGAAAATGGAAACAGATACTAAAAAACAAGACAATATCTTTTCCAAAAGATACTGAAATTTAGATGGGGGTTCCTACCTTGAAATGCTATTCTAAAGAATGCCAGTGGACAGATAGTAATTGATTCAAAGATCAAACAGAGATGGAAGGAAAATAATGAAATTCTTTACAATAGGGATATCAACATCCAAGATACCTTATTACTAGAAGATAAAGTTGATAATCACTCCAGTCATTACCAAGTCAGAAGACTATAGGAATTAATGGAATGTCTACAGAAATATGGGAAGCAACGGAAGAACAAGCAGCAAAGATTCAACCAAATTATGCCAACAAATCTGGATGACATAATGACCAATAAATTGGAAGAGGCCGGCTTACATATCAATATCAAAGAAAAGGAATTTAACAAATTGTACAAATTATTGCACAGTATCCTTAATTTCACATGCTAGCAAAATAATGCTTAGGATCTTCCAATGCAGATTATACCCCTACATGGAAAGGGAAATAACAGGTGTTCAAGCTGATTTTAGAAAAGTATAATGTATAATAATGTACCTGAGGAACAAGATACATTATTACTGATACACACTGGATAATTGAGAAAGCCTAAGAATACCAAAAAGAGATCACTAAGTTTCATTGATTATAGATAAGCTTTCAGATGTGCTGACCATGTCAATTTGTGGAATGTCCTTAGGAAAATGAGAATCTCAAAATATCTCAAGTGTCCTCATGCAAAATGTATATGCAGGACAGGAAGCCACAGTCCAGATAGAACATGATGATCTAGACTGGCTCCAAGTCAGCAAGGAAATGAGACATGGCTGTATACTTTCTCCTTATTTATTCAACCTATATATTTAATATATATTAAAGGAAGTCGGAATAGAAGACAAGCATGGTTTTAAAATTAGAGGAATAAATACCAATAACCTGTGCTGATGACCCTACTGTGATGGGTAAAAAAGCAAATACCATAGAGTACAATCATGGTATTCTTTTAGACCAGTTTTGGGGGTTGGCAGCACTCTGTTGTGCTGGTTCTCCTCCTTCCTCCAGGGCTGGTTCCAGTTGGTGTTGATAGGGAAGGAGAACCAGCCCTGGAGGAAGGAGGAGAACCACAGTGCTTTATGGGGTGCCACAGGGCTCAAGGCTGTCTCCTCTCCTGTTTAAGGTCTACATGAAACTGCTGGGTAAGGTTACCATCAGTATGCAGATGATATCCAGTTATGTATCTCTACCCTGGGCCATCCAAGTGATACTGTGGAGGTCCTGTCTCGGTGTCTGGAGGTTGCGGGGGAACTGGATGGGGAACAACAGGCTTCAAATCAATCCTAGTAAGATCAAGTGGTTTTATGATCCCCTGGTTCTGGGGACCTTTCATCTCTTGTTCTGGATGGGATTATACTGCCCCGGACAGAGCCCATGTGCAATCTGGAGGTCCTCCTGTACTCACAGCTCCTACTCAAAAAGCAGGTGGCAGTGTGGCTAGGAGGGCCTTTGTACAGCTTCATGTTGTGCACCAGAGGCACTGTTCCTGGACCAGGAGGCCTTGCTCACAATCACTCATGCCTTAGTCACCCCCTGATTGGATTACTGCAATATGCTCTACATGGGGCTGCCCTTGAGGAATATTCAGAAGCTTCAGCTGGTGCCAAGTGCAGAAGTGCAGGCAGTTATGGATGCTGGTCATTCGACACATGTGACACCTCTGCTCTGTGAGCTGCATTGGCTACCGGTATGCTTTTGGGTCCAATTCAAGGTGCTGATTGCTACCATTAAAGCCCTTCATGGCTTGGGGCCAGGTTACTTACAGGACTGTCTCTCTCCAGTGGCATCTACCCGTCCTGTTATATCTAGCAGGGGAGGCATGCTCTGGGTCCTGGACACTAAAGAATGCCATCTGGTGGGACCAGGAAAAGAGCCTATTGTGCCATGACGCCCACCCTCTAGAATATAATTTCCCTGAAATTAGACTTGCCCTAACCCTGCTGGCCTTTTGCAAGGCATTAAAAACTTGGTTCTGCCATCTAGCCTCAGGCCCTGGATGTATCGATGAGCCCATTTTGTGGTTGAATATGGAATGTTATTAATGTTCTTGGCAACTATTTCTATGGTTGTATTTAAGTTTGGCTGTTATATCTTGTTTTTATTTTGTTTTAATTGTTAGCTGTCCAGAGTCATGTATATGAGATGGGCAGCCATGCAAATTTATTAAATAAATAAATGAATAAATGATAGGCAAACTCTAGTAATGAAAGTCAAGGAGTACAATGAAAAATGGGACTAAGATTAACTGTAAAGAAAATCAAATTAGTGACAACAGATACAACAACTAGCTTTAGAATTGACATTGAAGATTTTGAACTGGTAGGTAGCTTCTGCCTCGGTGCACACACTGCGTGTTTGAGATCTCCCACAGATTTCAGTAATATTCATGTCTCAGGAATGTGAAGTCCATTCCAAAATTTTATTGTTCTTTCCCGTATGTGCTTCATGGTCAATTCATGGTTCAAACTGTTGTGTTGCTAAAATATCCAGCCTTTTTAAAGCTTCAATTCCTTCACAAACTATGTGTCATTAGCTTCCAGCTTAACTTAGTATTTAATTGAATCCATTCTTCCTTCCACCTGTACAGTATTTGTAGACAACTACAGGTAGTCCTTGCTTAATGACTGCCTTGTTAACTGGCCATTCGAAGTTACAATGGTGCTGAAAAAGTAACTTTACAATTGGTCCTTTCATTTACGACCGTCACAACATCCCCATGGTCACGTAATCAAGATTTGGGCATTTCACAACTGGTGGGCTTTTATGACTGTCACAGTGTCCTGCACTCACATGATTGCCATTTGCATGCTTCACAGCTGGCTTCCGACAAGCAAAATCAATGGAAAAGCCAGCAGTAAAATCACAAGTTGTGGTCATGTGAAGTTTTGCTTAATGACCACAGGTGATTCACCGATGGTGGAAGTGGGGTCGTAAGTCTGTCATGGTCCATGATGTCTTGCTTAATGACTGCAGTGCATAGCAACAGAGTTCTCAATCCCCACTGTGGTTGTTAAGTGAGGACCACCTGTACATATAAAGAGTAACTGCATTCAGATTTGTACAGTCTTCAACTCTAAACCATGTAGAAGTTGTGTTCTGTTCTCTTAGGCATTCACTGAAACATAAAGTTAATCAGAATGGCTAGATTTTTCCATGCAATTGTACAGTAATTAAAGTTTATGCGTGTAGTGTTGCCATACTGGCATACAGACATATGTAGATAGTCCTATACAATAAGGGTAGATCACGTGAAACATTTATGATGGTAAATATTTATCCTGGATCTACTATCATAAATTCCAGAACAGGCCTGAACATGGTACATCTCTGAGTAACAACTGATGTTGATTTTTGACAGTTTATTCAAAGTATTTATATGCTCCTGTTAATGTCTAGGTTGGTTAATGTCAGTCTAGGTTGGCAATAAAAAAGGCAAATAAAAACAAGCAGCATCAGATAAAAATGCAATATATGAAAGCAGATAGGTTGCCTTAAAGACAGTTATGATGATGCCCAGTACACTTTTTTTGATCATTTTTCATGCCCCAGTTACCACAATATACCAATACAATAAAACAGTGCTTTCTTAAGAATAGGCGTGGGTTGGGAGTTCTTCTTTGGCCACACAGCGTCACTGTCATGCAACTCTGTTCACATGAATTCAAAAAGGGGATTTTTGTGTTTTCGGACACATAAAGGATTTGGACCGCAGATTATTGCAGACATTATGAATAAATTGGGTCTACAAGCTACTGTTGAAGTCTGTGAGCTCAAACCCATTTCTCTCTGCAGATATCTCTACTTGTTTCTTTTTCCCTCTCTTTGGATCTTGTACCTAAGAGTGTTAAGTATAATCCCATTATGACTTACTGTCTTCAAACAATTCTTGCATGTTGTGATTTGTTTTGTTACAACTGGGCATGGACAGTAGACACAGAAGTCCAACACTTGTGTTTAGGCCAGTGTTTTTCAAACTTGGCAACTTTAAGACGTGTGGACTTCAACTCCCAGAATTCCCCAGCCAGCATACTGGCTGGGGAATTGTGGGAGTTGAAGTCCACACCTCCTAAAGTGGCCAAGTTTGAAAACACTGGTTTAGGCCCTTGAGTTTGGCCAACTCTGGATTCAGACTGACTAGTAGGAAAAGATGGTCTGTGATCATAGAGGTACATACTGTATGCTGTATGGCCCATGAAGGTCAGTGGGGGTTTTCAATAGGCTACATAGGAATGCACGGTATAATCCTTTATTTTACTTATTTATCAAGAGCCCCAGAACGACAGCAGGATTACTGAGAGCCCAGGCAAAGATTTGCAGGACATAACTAACAGCAGTTTACTCTATTAAACAATTACTTAATTATTTAATGGGGATCTGTACGAAAAACTGAACCCTTAGCTAACCACAAGGCTGGGTTCACACATTTTAAGTTAAAATGTGGCTTGCTACTTTGTAATTCTGGGCATCCTGTGACCGCCGGTTCTGAGCTCAATCGACTGTAAGCGCAACGCTTCGAATCAACAGACCCCTCTCGTTTTCCAGCACAGCCAGCTGCAAATTCAGTCCCAATTTTAAAAGAGGGTTGGACTCTCCCGCAACCTTTAACCGGACCCATCACATTAGGTAAAACCCACATTCTGCGAGAGTGGGCAGATCCCACCCACAGCTCTGCCTGCCTATCAAAACCCGCACCTTGGGGCTAAGGGTATTTCGCGACTCCGCCCCAGCATCGCCATCTGCCAAACTCGGAAGGTGATCCACCCCCTTCATTCGCTCGAGCTGAAAATGGCTGCCCTCACAGGAGTGCTCCGAAGGTTACTGAAACCCTCGGTAAGTGCGACCCCCTCTTTGCTGCACCGTCCCCGAAAAGTGACCTTTCCTGACCCTTGGGCTTGGCTTCGCTTGGTCAGGGCGGCTCTCCGTGACAGCGTGAAGGCCCCATCGCGCCTCCTTCCCAATCTCCTCTTGCAAGTCCGGCGCGCTCTGTGCGCGAGAGTAGCCGAAAAGCCCCTGCAGGGTCGACTCGCTTGCTTAGGGGCGAGGACTAGTTCCCTTTGTCGAGTCCCCGCCGCCGCTCCCCCCGTCCTTAACCTTTTGTTGCTTTTTGCAGAATGGGTTCATTCTCTCAGCCTTCCCTGTCTTTCTCTTTTACGCAATATATTTTATTTAAATGAGAGTCGAGTGCCTCCCCCCTCCCCCGCTCCTTTACTCATCCAGATCTTGGGAAATCCTCCTCCAAGCCGCCGCCGCGTTTGGATCCTTGGAGCAGGAGAGGAGTTGGAGCTCGATCTTCGCGCGCTTTGCAAAGGCCTTTCCCGATCGTTCCAGGCTGCTTCTGTTCCGCTGCTTGCAATCTTCCGCTAGCTTTTTGCCTCTCGGTCCCTGCTGCCGATCTTCCTTTTGATACCGAGCCCGTGCCCTCTTTCCCTAGAGTGGTTGGACCGGTGCCACCTTATGGAGGGCAGGCGCGGTTGCCGGAAGGTGTTTATCAGGAGCCGCAAGTGGACGGAAGTGTGCGGCCGACGCGACGCCGCTGGTCCCTCGATTCCATTTCAGTACTAGTAAGTTGCCGGGACTGATAGTGAATGAAATCGCGAACAGTGCGCCTCCAACGATACTCTCCGACCGTTCACGGATGAGCTCTTAATCCTCGCTTAAAACTCTTCTCCCCTGAGCCTGTGCTTTGGGCGAAGGGTGTTCCCTACGTGCATACGTGATGGATTGATTTAGTCCGTAATCGAATTGCATCCGTAGTGACCTAAAAAGCGGAGGAAATGTTGAATAGAAGAACTGGGCTATGGTTTGCAAAGGGGGGGGGGGGAACTCTTGCTGTTGTCCCACAAGGAAAGACCAAAACTAGCGGGCTAAAACTACAAGGAAGTTCAGGCTAGATATCAGGAAGAACTTCTGGCTGTAGGAACTATCAGCCACTGGCATAGGCTGCCACACGATGTGGTGAGTTTTCCTTTGCTGGAGGTCTTCAGATAGGGACTGGATAGTCATCTGTCAGATGCTCTAGTACAGTGTTTTTCAAACTTGGCAACTTGGCAGTATGGTGTCTGGGGAATTCTGGGAGGTAAAATCCACACCTCTCAAGGTTGCCAAGATCGTAAGTCACTGCTCTAGTACATCCTGCACTCTGGGGATTGGACTAGGTGACCTCTAAGGTCTCTTCAACTCTATGATTCTGTTACTTTGCAGTTTTCCTGGAGTATGTTCAAACGTTGGCACAATGCTGTAAACTACATTACTGTTCTTATAACTATCCATTATCTGTTCTGGTTTTCTGTTACATCAATTAAGTAAACAGAGGCTTAGTGGGTGTGGGGTTCAACATGTTTTTATAACGGCAGAACTGTGAGTTATGACAGATTATGTGCTCTGCAGTGGCTTAATGTTCAGGCATGTACATTTATTAAGTAGGGCATATTCAGCCCCGCTTCACAGTATACTTGAGGGAGGGGGGGTTGCACAGTGGCAATCTTGCTAATTGTTCTAAAAGTATTTAAGAGAAAGCTTTTACATTATTTCAGATGGATACAAATGGGGATAGCCATTTAATGGAAAGAGGATCAGGGCGTAAAAACTGTATTTGTTACACGGAGATATACAAAATGCATACAACTGTGCTGCTAAATGTTTCTAGTAGTTTGCAAACAGAACTCTGGTGTGTGGGTATATCTGTATATGCAATTAAGTTTGTATGTTCTCTTCTGTAAAGAGGAATGTGCATAATTTGATTTTAAAACGATGTTAAACATTCAGGTATTAGTACACTTTTTTTTTTCCAGATTTGTTGAACGAGCCTTGATGTAGGCAAGAATGCTTTTCCTCCAATTTAATTAAGGCTCAGGGCTATCACTGCATATTTGTATGAACGTTGCCCTTGGTCTGGAGCAGTGATGGCTTCAAGAAAAATAAACATCCTGAACATCAATCTTCTCCAACTGGGTATCTTTCAGATATGCTGGACTTCTTCCTCCTTTAGCCTGGCTGATGCATTTAAAGGTCTTTTCCCAATCATAGTTCCTTTAGTGGCTGAAATTATCCCATCCACACCGAGGAGGGGATACTGGCACACAATATATTCAGTCATAACATGAACTAGATATTGACCATGGTTTACAGACTATAATGACTGGATTCACATCATACCAAGCCAGAGGTCTCGAATCTTTGGGGGAATTTTGAGAACATGTAATGGCACTCTCACAAAATGGCTGCCTTGGGGTGGGCATAGCCAGTCATAAAATACCATTTTTTTCAAAGGAAAATACACTTCAAAGCAAAATAGTGTGTGGTTGCCCACTATTAATTTTATTTTCTAAAAATGCTAATGGAGTATATTTGATGCTCAGAAGTATTCTTGCAAGTAAAGATTATTGATGTTAGTATTTTACTTTATACTATGCTAGCTTCTCATATCTTGTAATTAAAAACCTAAAATAACAGCAGATAATAGATGGAACATGAAACCTAGTGGGTGCCAAGAGAGACACGTGAATGCACCATTTTGGGCGCCTAGTTGTTCAGCTTAAATATGACTTGTTGGGTTTTGACTTAGTGTGTTGTCTGAGTGCATAAATTGTGGGAATTAGAAGCACAGAAAAAAAGAGAAGAAACATTTTTAAGCGAGAGACCCTAAAGTGGATCAGTGAAGACTGTACGTACTCAGTGGGCAAAGAATATCATCTTCACCAGATGTGGGGCATCTGCTGTTATAAAAGAATGTGCAGATGGCAGCAATCTTGGACAGGAACATTTAACGCAGTAAGATTTTAGCTCTATTTTGGCAAATGTAGGTGACTGACAACCCAGCTCTCCTCATTGGTGGAGAGCTGGGTTGCCAGCACCTACTTTTGACTTCACCCATCTGGGATGAATGTCTGTAGTGGTACATACCTAGGGTTTCTGTGTGATTTGAAACGAAGACTTATTTATGGAATCTAAACAAGTAGGTAGAATGTTGAATACCTTAAAATGTGTAGATATGAGATCGTTGCTTTTTCCTTCATATGAAATTGCATGTTAGAGTTTTACTTGTTTCTAATCCAAACACAGTATCTGCGTTGTATCACATGCTGTACCTAATGGTTACTAGGTGCCTCAAGGTTTGTTCCTGCTGTCACTCAGCATGCTCCATATTTTAAGGGGACAGCTGTGGTGGATGGAGATTTCAAAGAACTCAGCTTAGATGACTTTAAAGGGAAATACCTGGTTCTTTTCTTCTATCCTTTGGATTTGTAAGTATTGTCCTATGTTGTATCTCTTAAATAGACTCGGCCCTCATGTTTTGGGAAGATAAAGAATCTTATTTGTTAATTCACCTTCACTTGCATTCTGCTTGTCATTGTATAGTGTGGTGGTGGCTTTCTTGGTTTAAAATTTAAGTGATAAGAAACTGTCCAAAAGTACTCTTATCAATGTCTTTCCAGGCTTAGGAGGGTATGTGTGTGTGTTGTTGATATTACTATTATCATCATCCCAAACTAATCCGCAGAAGGATAAAGTCCTTTTCATTGTGATGGACTATATTCTACTACATTGGTCCATTGTGGGTTGGTCAACTTCCCAGTCTAGAGTTAAGAGAAAGTGACCAGCCCAAAGTCACCCAGCTGGACTAAAAACCCAGGTCTCCCCATTTCAAGTTCAGCCTTTTAACTACCACACCACACTGGCTCTCATATTCAGAGAGAGACAAAAACATTAAAATGACTTGGTGTATTAATTGCTTATTTACCTAGATAGAGTGGCACGTGCATTGAAGAGGAAACAAGCAAGTGAATGATATCGTTTAGGGAGAAGTTTATTGTGTTAAAACAAATACATGCACTTCATTCTTCACTAATTTATGTTGCAGATGTGAGAAATTTATTGTCTCAGTTTTAATTAACCAGATGCCATAATGTGGACAGTGTAAAGTAGATACAGAGTAATAACCTGCTAGGAGCATGAAAATGGCTGTGCAGTGATCCTAACTGAAAGGGCAAACGTGATTCCAAGTACTGTACACACAGTATCTGTTTGAAGATTCCTTACACCAAAGGCATCCTTTCCCAGCATCTTAAAGTAGCTGTGCAAGTATGCAAGAAAAGACACAATTGTTGCTGACAAGTGTTACTTCTGGACTTACATGTACTCCAAATCACATTTTGCCTTTTATCTGGATTTCTGCATACAGTCGTCCAAATGAACATTATCATGCAGAGTTCAGTATATCTGAAAGTATTTGTAAAACACCTGCCTGTGCATTTGATGTTGTATGATTACTAAAACTGTGTAAATTATAATTTGGTAATCTTGTGATCCCAAAGAGAAGGGGCCACTATGTTCGTTTAGTGATCATGCTGTGGCCTGTCCCCTAAAAAAAGAATTGCACTAAAACAGAGGACGGAGCATTTGTGGGTTTCAGCAGTTTTATATGGAATACAGACTGCAGCTTATCTTTGGATCATCTTGGCAACTAAAAATGATAAGGGAATGATAAATAGGGATCTGATAAAAGCTACCAACATTTGGTAGAAATTGGGGATCCAATTTTGAAGCAACATTTCTTGGCATCCTGTCTTGGTAATATGCCATTATTCTTCTGAGCTTTGTCCTTTGAGTTTATGTCCCAAAGGATTATTTGGATAAGCAAGATGCCCAAAATGGACAAATATTTATTTTGCTCATGCTTTGTACAACATACAGTGGAAATAAGGATTTTTAGAGGCCTGGGCCATTCTTTTTCATTTTCTGTCTGTATTTTTTCCCCATTAGCACTTTCGTATGCCCAACCGAAATTATTGCTTTTAGCGACAAAGCAAATGAATTCCATGATGTGAATTGTGACGTTCTTGCTGTATCAGTGGATTCTCATTTCTGTCACCTGGCCTGGATAAATACGCCACGAAAGGTAGAAATTGGACAATTATACTACTTTTCATTTATTCTTGCTTTACCATCAATTTATGTCTATTTATACAGCACCACAGACACTGGCAAATTTGACTGACAGAATCAATGGGGTATTGAATGTGGAAGGAAATTGTAAAAGCAATTTGCGGGATTGCTGTCACTAAGTGATGAGGTCACGTGGCATCTCACTTTACAACTGCATCGCTTAGTGACAGACATTCCGGTGCCAATTGTAGTTGTAAATCAAGGATTACCTGTAACTCTTTGATAGCTACAAAAGTTGGTACTATTGTAAGTCTACTTATAAAATTCTAAAAAAGGATAATTATAATATCCTTTATAAGTAAAATAAAGAAAAATATATAATATGCAACAAAGAAAAATAGTGTATATAACATTCTGTTGTAAATTAATGTGGCTTATAGTTGTAAATCAAGGATTACCTGTAACTCTTTGATAGCTACAAAAGTTGGTACTATTGTAAGTATAATTATAAAATTATAAAAAAGGATAATTATAATATCCTTTATAAGTAAAATAAAGAAAAATATATAATATGCAACAAAGAAAAATAGTGTATATAACATTCTGTTGTAAATTAATGTGGCTTAGTGGTCATATTTTAATCATCGCTTAGAACATCTCTTAAGTGGGACTGTTGATTTAAATAGTTGTTCTTTCTTGCCAACTTAAAAGAATCAATTTATCAGCATCATCTATCTACTTGGAGGAGTTGTTTACATTTAACAACTCCTGGAAGAATTTGGAAGGCCTGAACAAATTGGATCTTGCTGTTTCCTGTTTCCTGAGCTTTTCTATAATGAGATCTGTTACTTTTTCTCTAGAAGACCTGTTAGATAATCTTGTGCCAACATTTCTTATGCCACTATATTAATTGAACCTGCAAATTTTCAGAGTACTGGATTAATTCTGTGTTTGAACATTGGCTTATACTTTAAAATCTTTGATTGTATTCATATCCACTGCGGCCACAAGTCTCTCTAGTATAAATGGGAAATGGGTCAATGTTTTTTAAAAAAAATAGTTTTACTTGCTTGCATATGCTATAGCCTTGAAACCTGACTAGTCATCTAGGTAGATTTATGACTGTGTGACAGGGTTTGCACAACTGAAATGCAAGTGATGACCACACACAGTTGTCTGGAGATGGCCCTAGGATGGCCCCTGAACACTGATGAAACTTGCTGGCCTTGCTTCAAGGACTGGTCATTTATCTCCCTGGCCCTGTGATATAGTTAAATTGAATAGATATGCATGCCTTATTATTAACTAGGAGTCCTGTGTAAAAGCAGCTGTGCATGTTTGCATGTCTCTTACTGATATCAAGATTACAGCCTTAAGGTATAAAATCAGATGGCAGAATTTTTACCTCTATTGGTGGTGATATTTGATGCCCACAATACAAAACAATTAATAAATAAAAGCTTTTTATTTCTGTTTATTTTAATGAAAAAACTGCTATGGCCTCAACATAATTGGATCTATGTCCTTTCATATGAAAAAGGCAAATTAGTTTTATATAGGCCAGCCTACCCCATTGTGTCCTTTTGATGTGTGAAAACTACAGGTCCCAGCCCTAAAAATCAATTGTCTTCTACTGCATAGGGAACAATTTAATTATTCATTATGAAAAAACAAAAATTATGGTCTTTTCAAGGAAGCCTTCTAGACACAATCATAGGTAGCAAATAAATGGGAATCATGTTAAACAAGTTCAGGACTTCAAATACCTTGGAATTGTTTTTCATGCCATCGGCTCATGGAGACCCCACATTCAGTCCCTAATAGAGAAGGTCAGAAGCAGAGCTGCCATACTAAGATTTTTTCGCACAATAGGAGGTAATTATGTACTTGGTGAACTGAAAGTATCTGAGGCCAAAGTAATCACAGCTGTCCTACAGCTTCCAAATATTTGCATACAAGAATCTAGAACTATTAGAATCTGTACAATCAAGCTTCCTAAGGAACCTGTTTTTGGTTCCTCATTGTGTCCTAACTCAACTCTTCAGGCTGAAGCTGAACTGATTGCAATTAAAACTCATGCCCAATAGCATGTATTAGTTACTGGCTCAAATTAATTTTTAACCCAGGTTGTCTGGCTTCTTTGACTCTTCAGGACAAATTCCAGACTTCTTGTTGAAAATTACTTGACACCACCCTAAGCCGTTGTGAATTGCCCCCAATGTATTGACTCCAATGGGATTTGATCAGGCCAAAGTATCTTTCAAGCAACGTGCCAGAGATATGGCCCTGCAAAATGATCTTAGCCAGGCTCCACTACATATTAATTCAGTGAACCCACAAAAAAGTGTTTCTCCCACACATTACCTCTATAATATTGTTCCCCAAAGCACCAGAAGAGCTTTTACTCTTGGAGGGAAGGATCTACAATGTACCAAAAGATCTGTGACTCTGTCCTTATGATGAGGGGGAAATTGAAACTGTGGGTTGTGTGTTGTGTATATTTCCCCAATATACATATATAACAATACCTGGGTAGGCCAGAGGCTGATTAGCTTAGTCTCTTGCTAGCTGACCAGGTGGCAGGGATTTCAGACAGTGTAGCCCAGTTCTGTGTCAGAGCTATAATTAAACGTAAACAACTCCTCCAAGTGAGATGATGCTGAGTCTTAACTAGACTTCCATAACTCAGTATATTTTCTCTTTTTTCCCTTTCTTTCCTCCCCTCCCCTCCCCCCTCCCCCGTTTCTCCCTTTCCTTTTAGATATACTCATACCATTCTATATTTTATTCTGCCATTTGTTTGTTATAATTGGTTGGACCATAACTGTCTTAATCTCAACAAACCCTAGCAGGGCTTCAGCAAGTATGAGACTTAATATAAGTTAGTATAGCTTTAGGTTCTTCTGGCAGTGTGTTATAAACTCCAGTATGACTTATGTCCTTTCATAGTTATCTTAGTTATCTATTTTATTCTATCCCAGAATAAAATATTATTTCCATCCCAGCCCACAAAGCAACCTCAGAAGCTTCTGGCCAAGGGAAACTAGTACAGATATTCTTCATCTAGGTTATTTATCAAACAACGATAAATTGTTCTGGATTAGACCAAAATTTGGAGTCTTGTTTATGAACATAGTCAAGTAGATCTAGGAAGATGTAAGTGAATGTTCCCATTCTGGCAATCTAGCGATTTGCCTTTAGTGGCAACATACATTGTTAGTGTCATGCAGGCTTTGATAGCCTCTTTTTTCTGAACAATTTAATCCTCTTTAAAGTAATCTAAATTCATTTCATTAAATTTATTATAGTTGCCCAGCCAATACCATAACTTAGGGTAGTGCCCATGACATCACTGGATGGTAGCCAAAGACCTTCAGCGTGTTTTTTTTTTTGAAAATGGCTAAAATGCTGTGTGATCTCATCTCATTTTGGCCAATTTTAATTTGTATATTTGTAATATTTAACATGACAATAAATATTAATATACTATAAATTTATGAGATATATCATGCCCACAACATAATATAATAATATTTATTATAGTGTTAATACATTTAGTAAGAATTTTGTAGCAATTTTGAGTATTATTATCTGTAGAAATAAGTTAGATAATATCACAAATATAGTAGGATTAATATAGTGTGCTGGGTGGAAACAAAATTGAACAAAGACGGAATGTGTGTTATTTCTGTACTCAACATTTTTCTCTTTTTTTGAAATTTATATACATTGCTTAAAAAATAATAATCAGCTATGAAAATCTGTCTTCTATTCATGCTGGATTTTTCTTTCTCCAGCTTTTAACGTTCGTGGAAGATATATGCTCATTAAACTTTTCATTCAGCAACTTTCTATTAATAGTAAAAATCTGGAAGGCTAAAGAAAAGCTAAAATGTCTGTCTTTTTCCTTAGAGTGGTGGTTTGGGTCATATGAATATCCCCCTTCTATCAGATTTAACAAAACAGATCTCCCGAGACTATGGTGTTCTCATAGAAGGGTCTGGGCTAGCATTAAGGTGAGGAATCTTTTATTACTTACCTTGAACATCTCTAATAAGATAGGGTTGGGATTAACATATGATGCCATAAAATAATCTGATTCATTTTAGCTTAATATATTGTGTGAACTCAGCTGTTGCAGTTTGTAAACCCTAGTTCCTGGTTTAACGCAATGTGTGAACTAAGTCTGTCTCTTCCTGAAGCTTAACAATATGAACTGCTTAACTTCCTGGCAGAAGAGCCAGGAAAGGTTGTGTCAAATAATATTTTCAGCAGATTTTTAAAATGCCACTTAACCAGTCTTACCCAACTTAATTGTCTCCATATACATTGCACTATAATTGTCATTATCTCTTTGCCATGTAGTAATTGCACATCCTGGCTGGGGAAATACAGGATACAGCCCAATATAATCAATTTGGAGAATTCTTACAGTGTTAGTTATTTTAGCCCTAAGCCCTTCCTTCCTTGGGGGTGGGTGATGCATGTCCATGCATGAGAAAAGAAAGAGATTAATCTTACAGAAACAGTATGGTATATAAATAGTGCATCAGTAAATGGAATTTTCTTAATTGTCTACAAGTTTTAATTAAAAAAAAATACTGCATTTATAGAATCTAATACAGAATAAAATACTACATGTTTTTGCTGGAATCTCTGCTAATAGAGTTTAAGACTGGGAATATGTTAGACCTCTCCGGCTGTGCAAATCTAAGAGATGGAATCCCCCCCCTCCAATCCATCCATCTATCTTGATTACAGTTGGTTAGTTAAGGATCTTTTCAAATATTTTCATTTTGGTAAATTTCATAATATAAAAAGGTAAATGTAACCTCTATCACTGATGTGCAGTATTTCTTCTTGCTGTATTTATTCCTGAATTTAAACTCTGACAGTCTGTTAAGAGCTCAGAGTATTCATTAGGTATAAACAACAACTTTAAAAGTCTAGTGGAAAATACAGTGGAAGTTATATTAATCTCCCAATAGAATTAGAACTGGCTCTTTCATAAGCAAACAAATTATATAAATTCAGCTGCCTTTTTTACTGCTATCCAGTAGAGCAAGAGGAAGGGGATAGATGTATGATGTCAATGGGTATTTTACATTGTAAAAGCATTTCTGTAGGAAGTATATTTTTAATTCAAAAAATGCATTTGCTTTCTTTTTAAGGGGGCTTTTTATCATAGATCCTAATGGAATCATCAAGCATTTAAGTGTCAATGATCTCCCAGTTGGTCGCAGTGTAGAAGAAACTCTTCGCTTGGTGAAGGCATTCCAGTATGTAGAAACACATGGAGAAGTCTGCCCAGCAAACTGGATTCCAGACTCTCCCACGGTATGTTGTTAAAGCTAATTTGTGAAACTTAATGCTGGTAAGGCCGTTGTTTTAATTATAGAAAATTATTTCTGATTTCAGCAAAGTTGAAAATGAAATTAACAATCATGTAGAAATAATTCAAGTGCAATTTCATTTGAGGTTCTTCTGTAATCTGTAAAGATTATAGAATTTAAGAAAGTTGCTTTCTTAAATATGAATACTGACTAAACTAGTTGCTGCTTACTTTTGAGATAGGGTTGGAAGTTCTCATGCCAGTAAAGTGGTAATATGTATAGAAATGACAGCACTTTTATTCTGCAAACCATCAATTGACTAATTTGTAGGTGTACTAGATCTATTAAGTTGGAGAAATGTCTTCTGTAGCCTGTAAGGATATTGAGCAGAAAAGAGTTGAGCAGGCTTAGATTGTTGGCTAAGGAATGAAAAATAGTTGATGATCCTAATTTTAATCATTTTTGGCTCAGAAATTAAATCCCATTTGTTAGCTGAAGGTCTCTAATGAAGTATGTGTACTCTCTAAGTTTTTCTTGCATGCCCATGAATGATCTCAAATAAAAAATTTGGCTCTGTGAAGCTTCCTTTTTTTCTCTGTATCTAGAGCTCTCCCATGCACTGCTAGTCTGTGCCATGTTGTTTAGACTTGCTGTCTTCCTTATGATTGGATGCCAGCATGGGGGAAGAAATTACTTATACAGGTAGTCCTCACTTAATGATAGCAATTGTAACTGGAATTTCCATCGCTAAGTGACATGGTCATAAAGTGTGACGTTACATGACTGTGCCGCTCAGTGACAGAAATTCTGGCACTTTTGGCTGCTGTCGTTAAGCAAATCACTGCAGGTCATTAAATGAGGATATCACGTGGTTTTCAGCCTTCTGCTGGCTTCCCTGTTGGCTTTGCTTGTAGGAAGCCAGCAAGGAAGGTTGCAAATGACAATCAAATGACCATGTGGATGCTGTGATGGCCATAAGTACGAGGAACGGTTGTAAATGCCACTTGTTCAATGCCATCGTAAGTTTGAACAGTTGCTGAACGAGTTGTCATTAAACGAGGACCACCTGTATCATTTTTGGGGGGGTAGGGAGTAGACTCCGGTAGAACTTGCCAGTGGCAGCAGCACCATCTGGGGCCTGGTAGGTTGAGGTGTAGCTGGGCTAGGGAAGTAGCAACTACTCATAAACCAGCATTGAGTCTTTTGGCCCTTTTCAAGAGTCATAGGGAGAGGATTCAGTAGGCATTTGTTGCACTTTCAGACTTCTTTCTTCCTTCAGTTTGATTAAACAATATGGACCATTTCCTTTTTTTCCTACTTGGAAGTACATGTGCTCTTACAGTGAAGGGATGTTGGATATTTATGTGCACAGAGACTCTGTTTGTATGACATTTAATTGCTTCCTTGATTGAATGCATAATTCAATACTTACCTTTTAACTCTTTGTTTTGCAGATTAAGCCAAGCCCAGAAGCCTCAAAGGAATATTTTGCAAAAGTAAATAAATAGAATGATGAGCAATAAGGGATTAGTGATTGAATCTGTTTCCTGAAGCCAGAATCAAAAATCCTGTGAGACTAGCCGTGATTACAATAAAAACCACAGAATATTTTCTACTTTGCTGTGATGAATGTCTAAGTGTTCACAGGGTTTTAGCCCTCTTCCACAGGAGATGAATGAATCTAATCCCAAACTAATTTAAACAGCACACACTTCCTACTCATAATGCTAGAAAATAATTCTCATTTAAAAAACCTTGATTGCTCGAAATAAAAAAAATATCTGGATTCTGTGTTCAGTGTGGAAAATACTGATGCTATTTGGTGCAGTATATTGAGATGTCCTATCTTCATAAACTTTAATTCTAATTTAATACACACACATTCAATAAAGGGTTGTGTAGACACAGGAATCTTCATGCCACATTCCTTCACTCCCTCGGCAAACTAACCAACACAAGATGCTGCTTTGGGAATTATCTGTGGGAACTAATAATAAAACATCTAGTCGTGATTATTCAGCATAACAAATAGGCTATTAAATATATTAGAATACTGAAATGAAAAAATGAAGAATTTATGCTATTATTTTATGAATAAATGCAAGATGGAGCTGTGAACCAAAGTCTCTTAATACCATCACTAAAGCATCATGTGTTTTGGAAATGTTGCTGTGAATATTTTGTAGCACTTGGGTACAGATTTTCAAACACTATACTGATAGGGTATTAATTATGTAAAGGATTTATTAATGAGTGAAGGAATTGTTAGAGTTTATTTCTAAAAAGATTTTGGACATCAGAGTTAAACTTGCTTAGCTATGAATTGAAAGAACTCCAAAAAGAAAACTTTGGATTTTGCTATAATTACACATAATCTCATATATCCCATAATATATTTTAAATTAGTTTTCCCCTGCCTCAGGTGTATGCTCTCTATAGCACTATGTTTATGAACGGATGTTGCATCACTGGGTCTTTGAATAGCTGCTTTGTACAGACAGCAGTTCAAGAAGAGGATGTTGCAGCCACATGAAGCTAGCTAAATCAGTATCAATGCCATCTCAAAATGCTTGTTTCTGACCATTGGTACTTCCATGTAAGCTACAATTCATGAGCTTGTAATTATCCCCAATTTATTTAGTTACATTTATTCAATTTAAATTCCATCTTTTCTCTGGGAGGTCAGGATAGTTTAAGCAAATATCTCCCCTAATTTTATTCCCACCCCATCAACCCTGTGTAATAGGTTGGTACCTTGCCCACTGTATCCAGTGAGGGCTGTGGTCCAGCTGAGATTTAAATTGGAATTTCCCATGTATTTTGAATTAAAAGCCTATTGTGTCTTTTTTCCACAATGTGGGTGGTTGGGGTGCTGGGATGGTGTGACCCCCCCAATATATCAGAAGGCAAACTGGTAAAATTCTTCTACCACCCATTCTAGCATCTCAGAATGCTTTCTACCGTCTCACCATTTTAGGTCTAAGCAAGCATGTGTCCAAACACAGCAGTAGATTAATTTTTTTCCCCCAAGAAGAAAAGGAGTATTGGAATACTTCTGGAATTTAAAAGTATTCTTGGAAATTATGTTTGAGCCTAGCATCATCTTCTGTTAGTTTGTAATTTTGTTTTTAGAGTCCCCCCCCCCTTTTTTTAAGATGAAAAGCATTTTTTAAACATGGGGCATGAAATCTGATAGGCACTAATGGAAGGGTCTATGGGTGTCATAGACCTCAGGGTCACTATATTAGGGAACCAGACCCTGCATTTTTCTCTGGGTGATTGGTAGCCTGATAGGGGCTGAGTTATAAACCTCAGCGCATGGACATCTTAGAAGAGGAATAAATACAATTGCATGTTTGGTCACATCTGTTTCTGAACACATCAATTTGGGAAAGTGCTTATGTGCACAATTGTGTAGTGGCAATATGTGGTCCATTCAAAGTTGTATTTCAACCAGTAATGTACATTCCATTTCATTCTGTTTATTCCTCGACTGAATTACTTAGCCGTACTCTTGAAAATGCTTCTGTGCTGTCAATATTGCATAAGAAAGACTTTGCCTGGAAAGACCACATACTTATTCAGTATGCAGATGTAACTGAAACTAAGTTCCATTTGACCTGATGTACAGTACTGTAATCTATTTCCAAATAGCTATGAAGCTGCATAAGAAATTTTCTGACATTGTTGAATATCCTGGAGGAAGAAGAACTGGGTGATATTTCTCATTCTGTAAGATGACATTCTCCAAAATGTAGGTCTTTTTTTTTTTGGTAACTAGGTTTCAGCATTATACTGTATTTGTAACGAGCTGCCACCTGTTGATCCCAAATCCAGTAACTTCCCTTGCAACC